CAAGTCTTAAAGCTGACATGGCTGGCTACCCCTGAACTAGATCAAACTGTCTCTCTGCTTCGCTTGATTAAATTTGTCCATCTATCATGCATCAAATTGTGTTCTGCCCTAGCTACGGACCCCAAAGAACGCAGCACACACAAAGTCCGTTCAAACCTTAGTTTACTAAATAAACCAGTTTTTTACAACAACGGCTGTTAATTAACTGCATTAACAGCCGCCAAGAATTCAAAGAATAATACTGAAAGCTTACTGTGGTTGGCAGAATGCCCAGAAGCAATTTGCAGGAAGCTGAGAAGATAAGCAAGACAAGACACGAAGGTATATGAACAAAGTTGTTCCCTGCAAATTGCTTCAGTCGGCGTTCCTCCTTAAATAGGCTAAAGGAATGACCATTAGCCCCAAGCCTTACTCTCGAGAAGACTTCCTCCTGAGGAGCCACTCCTGCCTTTTGGCAGCTCTGTGTGCCCGTGCATCGAGAAGAGGCTCCTCCTCTTCTTCCTCTTCACTTATGGGAACTTCTGGAGGTTCTGAAGGCCCTGGCTGAATCCCCGCCTCTGGCACCACATCTTTTCCAGCCTCCTCACTGTCCGACTCGAGTGCCAGCTGCACAGGCTGCTGGCGCAGCAGCACACCAGCCTCCTCGCTGTCGGAATCAGCTACGAGCTGCACAGGCCGCTGACGGGCCACAACAAATTGTAACCGATTCCCAAAATATACCACAAACAGCGACTCGCCCAAGGTCACTCAGTGCCTAAGGTAGGATTAGAACTCAGGGTCTCATATGAAGTCCACCTGTGTTCTAGATGCGCAGAACATGTTCTAGGTCGATTTTCCACCCATGGGGTGTTCGAAGCATAGGTAGTTCTTACTAATGACAATTGAGCCCAACATTTCTGTCGCTAAGCAAGACAGTGAAGTGAGTTTTGCCCCATTTTATGACCTTAGTAACACGGTTGTTAAGTGAATCTGGCTTCTCCATTGACTTTGCTTGTCAGAAGGTTGCAAAGAGGATAGCCGAGCTATCAACATAATAATTTTAAATTGGGTATTTTAAATTTCTGGGTTTTTAAATTGAGCCGAATTTATTTAATAATTTTAATTTTTAATTGATGTTTGTCTTGTGCTTTTAAATAGGCTGTACACCGCCCTGAGTCCTTCGGGAGAAGAGCGGTATAGAAATAAAATTATACTTATACTTATACTTACATGATCCCAGAACACTGCAACCGTCATAAATACGAGTCAGTGGCCAAGTGCTCAATCATGAGGATGCAGCAACTATGGTGAGAAAAATGGTCGTAAATCGCTTTTGTCAGTGCCTGTAACTTCCGACGGTCACTAAACGAATGGTTGTAAAGCCGAGGACTACCTGTACGTCCTTTGCCTTTTGTTCCCTTGGGATTTGTTCCCGGGTGCGATTCAAGGTGTTGGTTACCACCTTTAAAGCGCTCCATGGCATAGGACCCGGGTACCTTCGAGACCGACTTCTGCCACCAGCAGCCTCCCACCGGCCAGTCCGCTCCCACAAAGAGGGTCTCCTCAGGGTGCCATCGGCCAAGTTATGTCGGCTGGGGACACCCAGGGGGAGGGCCTTCTCTGTGGGAGCCCCTGCCCTTTAGAATGAACTGCCCCCGGACATATGCAAGATCTCCGACCTCTTGTGTATTCCGCTGTGCCCTTAAGACCCTGTTATTCCGCCAGGCCGGGCTATCAATGTAATGATTTTTAATTGGATGTTTTAAATTTTGGGGGGTTTTAATATTGAGCCAAAATTATTTAATAATTTTAAATAATTTTAATTGTTGTTTGTCTTTGTGCTTTTAATAGGCTGTACACCGCCCTGAGTACTTCGGGAGAAGGGCGGTATAGAAATAAAATTATTATTATTGGTTAATCTTTAGTGAGATTCACAGCCTTTGAGGCTGGTTAATAGCTCAGCAGCTCGAGTCCTAACCAAGGACCTAGGAACTGTTAAGGTATCGTCGGAGGATGTAAGCTGTTCCGAGTAAGGTGGTTTTTTGTAGAGTCAAAATGTTCAAGTCCGGCAAATTTAGAATTTCTAAATAGCGGGGTAGCCCTTTGGGTATTGCTCCAAGGGCTCCAATTACAATCGGGACAACACACGATTTCTTTTTCCACAGTCGCTCAACTTCAATTTGCAAGTCCCGGTACTTTGTGATTTTTTCTTGCTGCTTATCTTCAATCCGTGCATCACCAGGTATTGCAATGTCAATGAACCATCCTTTTTTCTTTTCAACTATTGTTATGTCAGGTGTGTTGTGGACCAAGTGCCTGTCAGTCTGAATCCTAAAGTCCCACAAGATCTTGAGTTTCTCATTCTCTAAAACTTTCTCAACCTGATGTTCCCAGTGGTTTTTGCTGTGGCAAATTCCAGTGAATGACTTAGCAACGTCATGGCATTGTAGTAGTCAGTTTGTGAAATTTTGCTGCACCATGATCAGGTTATGTTCATCTATTGCATTTGCTGTAATTATGTTGTTGTTGTTGTTGTTATTATTATTATTCGCTGCTGGAACTAAGAGTCAAGATTACGACTTGACTCTTGCAAATACAGGTAGTCCTCAACTTACAACAGTTCATTTAGTGACCTCTCAATGTTACAATGACCCTGAAAAAAAAGCGGCTTATGACTTGTTTTTTCACACTTAACGACCATTGAAGTATCCCCACGGTTATGTGATCAAAATTCAGACGCTTGGCAAACTTGGGTTCATACTTATGATGGGTCACAATGTCCCGGGTCACATGTTCTTCTTTTGCGACCTTCTGACAAGCAAAGTCAATGGGGGAAGCCGGATTCGCTTAACAACCGAGCTACCGACTTAACAAATCCAAGGAGTCACTTAACCACCGCAGAAAAGTCGTAAAACGGGTGAAACTTTTTTTTTTTTAAAAATTGATTTATATGCCGCCCTTCTCCGGAGACTCAGGGCGGCTTACAATGCGTTAAGCAATAGCCTTCATACTTTTGTATATTTTATACAAAGTCAGCTTATTGCCCCCACAATCTGGGTCCTCATTTTACCTACCTTAGAAAGGATGGAAGGCTGAGTCAACCTTGAGCCTGGTGAGATTTGAACTCGCAGTAATTGCAGGCAGCTGGATGTTAAATGCCTTAGTAGGAGGCATTAGCTTCCTACGCCACTCAGGCTCCTATATTGCAGAATATAAACTTATATTCACCAATGTCTCACTCAGCAACATCGATGCTGGGCTCCATTGCGGTCGTAACTCGAGGACTGCTTGTACTTGAACCCCTCCCCCCACCCATCCAAATGGGAGAACCATTGCTGGAACCCATGGGGAGGAGGGGGGCACACCCTCCACCCTTTCCCACCCCCACCCCCGTCCCCTGCCTTTGCATGGGATTGCCAGAGAGAGAGAGAGAGAGAGAGGAGAAAAGCCTCTGGGGCACCGGTGCAAATACAGATTATAACACAGTTGGAAGGGGTCCTGGAGGTCATCTAGTCCAACCCCGCCCCCCCCTGCCCAGCAGACCCTACACCATTTCCCCCAGATAGCAGTCCAGTCTCTATTTGAAAGTTTCAAGCAGGTGCAGACAGGACGATCCAGAAAATCAACACTCCCCCCCCCCCCCAAAAAAAATCCCAGTTTATTCATCTTTGCACGTGGATGGGAGGAGAAGCAACCCCGGGAAGAAATACCCCCCCTCCCCTCCAACTCTCCCCCCCTTGCCCCCCTCCCCCGCGGGAGGGGGCCAAAAAGGGGTGCTGCTGACCCGTTTCACCCGTCCCCCCCCCGGGACTGCATTCCCACGACCACTTTCCCCCAACCATCCTCCTCCTCCTCCCTCCTCCTCCCTCCCTTGCCCAGCCCCGCGCGGCCTTCGTCGCTAAGCAACAACGCGGTCCAGGGTTCTATTTCCCCCCTCCATCACGAGCGCTTCCAGCGCTCGCACCTGCGCAGTGGGCGCCGCCCGCTCCCTCAAACCCTTTTCGCTGGTTCCTGAGCAAAAAGGAGAGGCACCTGCGCCGTTCTCGTTCCTTCCCCCCCCCCCACCTCCCCTCCTACTGCCCGGCTCCCTCACGCGCCGCGGCGCAGGCGCGCTCTTCTTCTTTCTCCTCAGCCGGCGGCCGATCGAGGGACTTTTGTGTGTGTGGGGAGGGAGGGAGTGGGGGGGGGAAAGAGAGAGAGAGAGAGAGAGATTGTAGGAGTGGGCGGGGCCGTCCGTCGGCGGCGTTCGTTGGCTGGCTTGGCGGCGCGCGACGGGGCAGGCAAAGGAGGGAGGGAGGGAGTGAGGGGGGGGCACACGCGCGCGCGCGCGAGGCTGCCCGCCCCCTTCGGTCGTGGCTCCCTCAGCCGGGCGTGAGGCGGCGGCGGCGGCGGCTGTAACGGCGGCGGCGGCTCTCCCGGTCGCGAGCTGAGGTGAGGCGAGGCCAGGGAAAGGCAGAGCATCCTTCCTTCCTCCTCCTCCTTCCTCCTCCTCCTCTTTTTGTGCCGCCCCTCCCGGCTCCCCAATTCTCTCTCTCCCCCCCCCTGCCGTTTCCCTCAGGCTCTTCCCGCCGCCCGCGCTCCCCCCTCCGTCACCTTTCGCCTCCCCCCCCCTCTCTCTCCATCTCTAGGCTCGCGCCGCTCTTACCTTTCCCTCCCGCCGGGCATCCTCCCTTCCTTTGTGTCCGCGGGTGGGAGATGCGCCTCTCGCCTTGCATGCAATGCCGGGTGTGTGTATGTGTGTGTGTGTATGCATGTATGTGTGTTGCCTGACCTATGTGCATATGTTGCACACACACACACACACACACACACACACAACACAACGCGTTCCTCCCCCCTCCCCCCCCTCTTGGGCGTGCGGGGCATGCCAGCTTGCCTAAAAAGCGCGCATCCCTCCTGGCATTGGCCTCCATGCACGCTCCCTGCCTGGGCTTCCAATCCGGGCTTCCTTTTCTCTCTCTCTTGTGGGGAAGGTGCATCCAGAGCATCCCTCCACACACACACACACCTCTCTGGGAGTGCATGAATGGAAAAGGGCCAAGTGAGCATCCTCAAGGTGGTGGTGGTGGTGGGGGGGGTTGATGGTTTGAGATTTGGTGGCATGCAAGGAAAGGGATATGCGAATGCAAAACCCAGGGGGATGAGGTTTTATCTGCAGCCTTGTGTGCATCTTGGGCATGGTGCAAAGGAGCCGAAGGGCTTTGTTGGGTGTCTGTGTGTGTAGTGGGGGGGGGGAGAGCGGTGGGTAGGGTGGGAGTGGGTAGCATCCTTCTTGCCCTTTGTATGGCAGAGAGAGAGAGATGCTTTCTTGCTCCTCTTTGATCAGTTTTTATTGTGCCCTAGTTGTGAGTTGTCGAGACAGCCTGAGTTGTCTTGTAAGGCGCTCTTTGGGGTTGAAATTTAGGTGCCTTGAAATGAACCCTTCTGCCTTGCTTCTGGCTGCTTCCGAAGAGATGCGAGGATGAAAAGGGAGAAAGTGTGAAAAAGAAGCCCATGCATGCATGCATGCATCCCTCCATTCCATCCATCCATCTCTCTATTCCATCCCTCCATTCCTCCATCCCATCCCATCATCCATCCACCCCCTATATACATGTACATGTACATATACGTTTTCATAAATATATATATGTAAAATGGATTGGAAAGCTAGATATATTGCTTGTTCTCTGGCCAATTCCAAGCCATCTGCTTTACCTTTGATTTGGGATTCTGTGAGAAAGGTTTGTGGTGTTGCCCACATTTGTTTGAAGGGGAAACCTATTGACACTGACCATAACTAACTGGCCAAGCCTTTTCTTTAATTAGGAAAAACCCGAAGCGTTAATAGTTTGGCTATTTCTCACTTCTACAAAACCAAAGAAAAAGTTGTGGAACTTTGGGGAATGGGAGCTGATGGATGCTCTGGAAAAGCATCTCGATGGAGTTTCACTGTTATCTTTAAAGTTTTTTTCTCCCTACATTGAGGTGTCTGCTTAACTCTTAAGGGTGTTTTGAGAAGGAATTGAAAATTGATTGGATGAAGAAAAAAATTCTAATGTTGCCATGTAACGGCTTCTCTAGGAGGACAATGTAGGGTTGACTTCATAACCAGGGAAGTTATATTGGATATTGGATGTGGTGATTACTGGTTGGTTTTCAGTAAATTGTCAGTAATGTTAATACATTCTCAATTGTGTTGGTAGAAAATAAATTTGTTTTAAAATACTTAGTTGTTGAACTTTTAAAAAATATTTTTATCAATTTGAGCTTGTGCTGTTGACATGTTCAAAATACTATAATCATCAGCTCAAGCTTTATATATGATTATTAATAAATATCTCTTAGAAATTAAACTTGTTAATTTATTCAAATTTTTGGTACTGTACTTGTATATTCCTAAAGTGTATAGCAGTCAGGCCTGAGAGAGGGGGAGAGGGGGAGGGAGGATATTGTATGATTAATGGATTTGTTTTCATCAGTGATCAGTAGTCTGAAGGTTTTTGTTATGAAAGATCCTTCTAGGAATCTATGATGAAACACAAATTGAACAACATAGGGAAAAAAACAGAACTAATTAGTATAGAGAAATATCTGTGCTTTTTGGGCTTCATTTAGTTATGCTTAATTGAAACAACATATGTAAATTGCCAATAATTTATATAAAAAACACTGTATATTAATACCATATTTATGAAGCATGATTAGGAACTTGATTAAGAGCCTTGGTGGCGCAGCAGATTAAAGCACTGTTAAGTAACACCAGCTGCCTGCAATTACTGCAAGTTCAAATCTCACCAGGCTCAAAGTTGACTCAGCCTTCCATCCTTTCGAGGTAGGTAAAATGAGGACCTGGATTGTGGGGCAATAAGCTGACTTTATATTAAAAAAAAGAACACCACTTTGGGGGGGGGGCGAGGCGAAAGTCCTACTAAGCAGGTATATACAAAAAGTATGAAGGCTATTGCTTAACGCATTGTAAGCCGCCCTGAGTCTCCGGAAAAGGGTGGCATATAAATTGAACCAGTAAATAAATAAATAAATAAACTGTTAAGTCCAAATTGTATGGATTTTAGCTGCAACCTGAAATATATTGATATGTTCATTTGAATAAAACTTTTATGCATGTGTCTTTACATGTACATTTAATAGGAACTGCTGAGGGCAATATCAATCACATTTCACTGCTTTCTGAGAACTCCACAACTACATTGTAGTTCCAATTTTTTGATTCTATAAAGATAGTCCTTGTCTTGTGACTGGTCGCTTAGCAATCATTCAAAGTTATGATAGACCCTCTCAAAGGTACTAAGAACTGGTTCCAAAGTTCCCATGACTGACCCTTTCCTGCGGTCGTGGGACTGTATGTTGGTCCCTTGGCAATCAACCAGCATTTATGGCCATTTGCAGCATCCTGTAGTCATGTGATTGCATTTTATAATGTTTTTGCCAAAAAACACAGCATTTACTTCTTGGGAAGAAAAACCTCATAGTGAACAATGTGTTTGTTTTATGACCGTAGTGTTCGCTTTACAACTGCTGCATTGCTTTTATGATTGGTACATTCACTTAACCAAAACCACAAAAAAGGTCGCAAAATTGGGTTGGTCATGTGGGTGACCAATTTTACAACTGTAATGCTCAGGCTTAACCCCGTAAATTGAGGACGACCTGCAGAGGGAAGTATTATTGACATATAATTAACCAAAAACGCCAGTGAGCAAGTTAAGTAATTCACACTGCAGTCATTATCTACACATTGCCTGTGCAAATCAAATATGATTATTTTTAAAATGTATTAATTGTTTAGAAATGTGATGTAAGAATTATTTTTCCTGTACCTACTTACAAGAGCTCTTTATATTATCCTCTTCTACCCCCTCCCACCTCAGTCGCCAACTAGACAGCCATAAAAACATATGCAGAATGTGAGTACAAAGCTTTCTCCTGCTATTGTTGCCTGGCAGCTGGTATTCAGAAAAAATCACACCTCATCCTAGAGTTATTAGGCAGTTAATGTGAATATTAGTAGTAGAAGGACTTATTCCTAAGCAATACAGCTGATCCTTTAAAAAAAAAAACACCCTTACAGAACTGGAAGCTGTCACTTGAATTTTTGATCATTTAATTTTATTTTGAGGTTTCCATGTTCTAGTTTTAGGAGAGAATGCTCCTGTTCGTTTTCTTCATGTTGTGTATAACTTTATATTTTTATACTCTTTTTATACTGTTATACTCCCATCAGGTGCTAGCCCTCCCCAGTTACTTGCATTTTCTGTTTTGTAATAATAAACCCAACGTTGTTCTCCCTTCATAGGAACTTCTCCCACTTTCTGATAACTTTGGATGACTTTCTGTTTCCCTGCCAGCCCCCTTCAATCTTCCCATGGGTTTGTTGAGGTGCAGTGTTACAAATTCTGTAATCATTCTCCCAAATACTGCTACAATTGTATCAGAGATTACTAGAAAAGTAGCAAATATTGTCAGCTTCATTTTCTATTCTTTTTCTTTATTATTCTCATAATAATCAAGAGATCATTAGACTTTCCAGTTTTGACTTTGACTTTTATTAGATTTCTATACCGCCCTTCTCCTGAAGGACTCAGGGTGCACAGCCATATTAAAACACATATAATTTACAAAATTTAAAAAACCATTAAAATCGGATATACAAAAATTTGGCCCGCAAGTTAAAACTAACATACACCCATTTAAAATTCATATTCATGTTAGGCCAGCCCGGCTTGTTGAAATAAAAGGGTCTTCAGGGCGCGGCGAAAGGTGCGCAGGTCGGGGATCATACGTACATCTAGGGGCAGCTCATTCCAGAGGGCTGGTGCCCCCACAGAGAAGGCTCTCCCCCTGGGTGTCGCCAGTCGGCATTGTTTGGCCGACGGCACCCTGAGGAGCCCCTCTCTGAGAGTGAGTTGGCCGGTGGGAGGCTGTTGATGGCAGAAGGCGGTCTCAGCTGCTTGATTTATTGCCTGATCAGTCACTCCCAGCTTTTACAGGTTAGGACCATCGAATTTTACATGATCTTAAAAGTGTTTGTCCTAATGTGAATCACTTTGCATCCAATTCATTATTACTCATCTCCTCTGTTTGAAAGGATCCTTTTGGAACCGCTTGAAGCCCTCTTGTGTTATCTGCAAATATGGTCAGGTCACCCCTCAACCCAACTGCATATAATTTCTCAGCTACTTAAAAGGCACTGTTCCTCGTAGTGCGTTTGATGAAGTGAACCGATACCCACAAAAACGAATAATGCCTTTTTAATATAATTTGTTGGAAGTGGAATTTGTTAGCTAAACTCCTGATTTTTGATACCATAGAGCAGTTTCTCAATCTTGGCAACTTTTAAGATGTGTGGATTTCAACTCCCAGAATCCCCCAGCCCAGCGTGTTGACGGGAGAATTCTGGGTGTTGAAGTCCACACATCTTTAGGCTGCCAAGATGGAGAAACACTTTCATAGACTACTGTGGCTGTCTTTCTATAGCATTACCCATAGAACATGGATCGAAATCCTTGAAAATCCCAGTTTTTCTATGGACAGAGTAAGCTATCCATTTATTCTAGAAGAAATGTGTATCTCAGCTTAACTTTCCAATAGTAATCCATTATACCTTAGGATAAAATTGATTTCTATCAAGATTTTAGCAGGCTGAAGAAGCTTCTCTGTAAGCTGCCTAGAGCTTAAATAGACAAACATAAAGAGTAATTTCTGTCCAAATTTTCTGTAATACACATTCCCAACTCCTGAAGATACAAATGTATCTTTAAACTACTATTTCTCCTCCTCCTCTTCCTCCTCCTCCTCCTCCTCCTCCCCATTCCCTACTAGCACTGATGATGTCATCTAATTGGTTGATGAAAGGTCTTCAAGAAAACAACTCAGCTCAGAAAACACTAAGGACCCCACAGTTCTCCTCCTCCTCCTCCTCCTCCTCCTCCTCCTCCTCCTCCTCCTCCTCCTCCTCGCAGTGTTCATAAACTTTGAAAATGTCTAGCATTGCAGCATCATAATTTCTCGTAACCACCTATTGTTCGAAATTCCAGTTAC